TACAAAGTCCGGTTACAAGCCGAATTGAGTAACCTTAACTGTAGAGTATCTTTAACAGCCGATTCTTGGGATAGTGGTTATAAATATCACTATTTATGTGTGACTTGCCATTGGGTAGATGATCAATGGATGTTACAAAAAAGAATAATACATTTCAAAATGCTGGAATACCCACACACCGGCATTAACATTGCTCACCATTTAATGCAAGCAATAGACGAATACAACCTTCGAGATAAAATGATGTCTATGACTTTTGATAATGCAACCTCTATGACATACACAACTAATCTTATCAAACAAAACTTAACCGATGTACTATTAGACCGTGAAGCTCTTCATACTAGATGTGTTTTGCCATGTACTTAAACTTATGTGTACAGGATGGAGTTCTCGGGCAATTGGCCCATACTACAGCAAAATCAGAGATGCTATTATGTCTATTAATAGCTCTAACATGAGATACCAAGAATGGAAGAGTTTTCTAAAACAACAAAAGATAAGGGTAATAAAAATTAGAACCGATTGCCCAACTAGGTGGAATTCCCCTATGACATGTTAACAAAGGCAATTGAGTACAAGGGCCCGTTGACATTATTTTACAACCAAAAATTTCCACAAAATGCTTTGTATGATGATGATTGGAATAACTGTGAAAGATATATGCAATTTTTACAATTATTATATAACATGACGTATTGTTTTTCTACTGTTTACAATCCTTGTGCTCAAAACTTTCTTTCTAATGCATGCTTACTCGCCCAACTTTTCGCTGATCATCGCGATCAAAGTGATTATGATCAGTATCTTCCAGCAATGGAAAAAAAGTGGCGTAAATATTATAGTCAGATTCCTTTGATTTATTTTTTGCTTCCATATTAGATCCTAGGCAAAAGTATGAAAACACATTTATGTTAGTTGACATTTACTTTCAATGCATGTTTCTTGACGATGATGTAGAAAACTATAAGACTAATGTGAAGGATCAGTTTTTTGCTTTATATAGAGTCTATGAAGCCAAATATGGCACCGTTTCCTCGCTCAGGGCCTTCCCAACCATCTAAAAACGTAAGTAAGAAGGCCAAACATTTATTTTCACAAGCTACTAACTTGATTTCAAGGTTTTCAGGTGATTCATCAATCAGGAGAACGCAAAGCGACGTCTCGGAGTTGCAGATGTACCTGAGTTACGACTTCACCAAAGGCATGGACGACGATGAGATAAACAGCCTCGACCTCCTTGCATGGTGGAAACAACAAAGCTCGAAGCATCCAACTTTGGCGGCAATGGCACGAGACATTCTTGCTATCCAAGTTTCCTCCGTCGCCTCCGAACGAGCTTTCAGCGCATCCGGAAGGGTTTTAGACGATAGAAGAACAAGTCTAAAACCCGAAACACTAGAAATGTGCGTGTGTTTCAAAGATTGGTTGGATGCGGAAAATCGCTCACAAGACCGTTCTTACGACCACAACGACAACGAAGAAGGAACCTCCGCTTCCGGTTCGGGTTCGGCTAGTTCCCAATCTATGCAACTAGCCGATGACCTTGAAGGCGAAGACGAAGACGAAGACGAAGACGAAGACGAGACGAGCAAGAAGAAGGAGAAGAAGAATAGACAATTATTGTATATTGTACGATTTTAAAAATATCAATTTTATCATTTTCCAATTTTTGTTTAATACCATCATTGTATGATTTTTATCATTGTTATCATTGTACAATTTTCTCAACTCAAGTAATAAATAATATAAACGCATTATTCACATCCAAAGTCCAATTTGCCTTTTTTCCCCGTTTTGTTACAATTTGTAAATTCATATTAAAATAAAATAAAATTATACCAATTACTAATAAATCATAAACATTAAATTTTAAAGTAATAGTATAAAGTAAATATATAAATATAAATATTGAATATACAAATTATAAAACATAAATATTCAACTTATAATTATAAAATTCATAACTTAATAACTTATAACTTATAAGTTATAAACTTATAAGTTACCTTATAAAACTTATAATTATAATTTTATAACTTATATACATTATAAACTTATTAATTAATAATGTTGTCATTAAAAAAAAAAAAAAAAAAATGAAAACTGCACCAGCCCGCGCAGGCCAGCCCGCAGCCCGGCACGTGGCCGGCACGGCACGAGCCCGCCAGGCACGGGCCGTGCCGTGCCGTGGGCTGGCCTGTGAAAATGGCCGGCACGGCACGGCACGAAATCCTGGGCCCGCCGGCACGACCGGCACGGCACGAACCAGCCCGCGGCCCGCCAGGCACGGCCGCGGCGGCCCGGCACGGCCCGCGGCGGCCCGGCACGGCACGGTGCCCAGGATTAATTGTTAATATGCACTCAGTCCCCGACATGTATATTCGAGTCTTTGTACAAGCATGGTATCAATGGCATTACACTTCAAAACTAAGGGGTCGTTTGGTTGGTGAAGGTGAAAGGGAATGACTTTAAGAAAGGGAAACAAAAGGAATGGAAAGCTAAACCCTTATTTTTATTTGTTGTTTGTTTTGCATCTAGGAAAGTGAATTAGCCAAACAAATACTATTACATCTCCCCCTACAACCACCACCACTTCAATTTACACTTCACCCTACCACCACTGCTTTGTCACCGTCCTCTTCACCACGTCGTCGCCCCTCCCATCCGACCGCCGCCCGCTTGCTGCCACTGCCCTCCCCATCCACCTTTACAGCCACCATTATCTATTCTTCTACAACCACCACCATTTCTACCTCTGTCTTTCACCCTACAACCACTACTTTAGTCACGGTTGTTGCCCTTCGATCCCTCCAATCATCACTTGCTACCTTCTATCGCCGCCAACCCTCTTCTCTTTTTTTTTTAGTAAAATTTTCTTAGATCTAGCTTGCTTGGTTGTTTTTAGGGTGCTAAAGGCTTTATATGGGTGTTTGGGGTTGTTTATGTGGTGGTTAATTAGGGGTTTCGGTGGTGGGCGAGGGTACGAGGCGAGGGGTTTCGGTGAGGTGGCTAGCTGTTTCGGTGGTGGGTAGTGTGGTGCGGTGGTGGCTGGGTGGTTTTGGGTAGTTTCGGTGGTGGCTGGGTGTGGCGTCAGTGTGTCGACGATTTGTTGGTGGCTAGGCGATGATTATAGTGGTGGTTGGGTGGTGGTGTCGGTGGGCAGTTGGTGTTTCAAGGGTGGTCAAGGTAGTTAAAAGGTTGGTCAAGGTAGTTGGGTGAAGAGGAGTTTGGGGGTTAGGGTGATTCCACCGGGAGGGGTTGGGGAATGAAAATAGAGGAAAATGGGGTAATGGGAGGGGTAAAGGGAATGATTGAATTTGCCTATCAAACATCAACAAAGGGAATCATGACAGTTGATTCCCTTTCCCTTTGTTAAATACCCCAACTAAACGGCCCCTAAGTTATTTATGGCAATCTAGTGCTTTAGCCTTATACTAGTACTAGTAATTATAAGTCAGAGTAGCTTATGTTATGGAACCATGTGTATTGCTTTCAATTCTTTATCCCTGCACCCACCTCTCAACTGTATATGGATAAGGGATAGGTCGGGTGTTTCCCTTGTAATTTAATTTCTATTGCAATGTGATTTAACTTTTTGATTTGTGTAATAAAGCTTATAAAGTACTCACATTATTCTGCTAAATTTTGACACGCATATTAAGGAATTTAATAAGACGAAGTAAGCATGCTAAAAAAAAAAGGTAGTAGAGGGGTCCACAAGAAAAACATTTCATATAGATTAATTGTAATTAAAAAAAAAAAAATTAAGTAAAAAGAAGATTTTTTGTGAACATCCAAAAAAGAAAACTAGAAAATTATTTGTAGATGAATGGAGTACTTATACAAAGCTCATGTGAAGTGCATTCATAAGAAGGAATTGGAAGATTTTGATTCCCATGTTGATGAAAGGTTAGTGAAATTTCTCTTAATTTTTAAAGTTAAGTCACCGAAAAAATCAAGAAATTTAATTATCTACCGACTAACTCACTTAGTATTAAAAAAATGTGGCCTTATGGTCCATCAACAAGCCTGGCTAACTTCATATTTAAATGACTCTACGTCTCTACCCACATTTAACTCTAATCTCCACTACTCTCCTTCTAAAAGAAGGTCATGTTTGCTGGGTTTTACACGGTTAATAAGGAAAATAAAATAGTGGAAACAATGAAAGTAGATGTTATACTTTGATTTATCAAGTAAGCATAAATAAATTTTGAAAAAAGAATATTTGCATTGAAAGTAGGTAAATATTTTTGTAATTAAATAAGAATGATTACATTAGCGGGACATTTGGTATGAGGGGTGGATTAAGTAGGATAAGAAGGTGGAATAAATAAGTGGGATAGGGATTAAAAAAAATACGGAGTAATATATTCCATTGTTTGGTATAGGTTGGAAGTAGATTGAAATAACTAATAAAAATACATAACTACCCTTACTATCATTTCTCCACTCTCTTTTCCTTTCCCCTTCATTAAGGGTAGAAAACATCTTTTATCCATTTATTTAATCCTCATCCCTTGTACCACCCCTTTAGTTACGAGGGATAACTCCCTTTTTTTTTTATCCCCATCCCAACCCCCCTCTTTATCCCCAATTCCCCATGATCCCATCCCTCTAAACAAACAAAAGACTAGTTAAATCCTTTATCTTAAATCCTTATCCCTTCTTTCCTATCCCTCTAAGCAAACATGCTGTAGAAATATGCAAATATTTTGATGAATAAGGATAGTTGCATTGAAAATATGTATATTTGAGGAGAATTTACAAGAGAAAAATAATTTAATTTAAAAATATTAATATGTAATGTTAAAGAGGAATAGGTGATAGGTGATTAGGAAAACCTTTAAAATGACAAATGTAATTATCTTCTAGAGACGAAAGGAGTATTCCATATTCCATTCTCGATTCCGATTAGTAAGAATAAAGTGACGTTATTGGTTAGAGTATGCTTAAATCAAGTACTCCAAAGTCAACTACTTCATAAGCTACCCGAGAATCCAACTGAGAAGCTAACTATACTTGTCTTCCAAATCAACCACCCTTCATTCTTAAATTTCTCCTTCAAATTCCATCAAAATCAAATTCAAATTCAATCAATTACTCAAACATGGCGATGCCTTGGAGTATGACGTTATGGATATCAAAGATGGTATGGTTGGCACTTGCCGGTTGGATTTCTTCTTGTTTAATCGTAGCCGATGAAGTTGCCAGCTCTATTCGTACTGGTGATATTGGTGCCTTCCATGTCGGTTGATTTCTTCTCTTTTTTATATTAATTTTTTGGTGAGTTTTTTCAATCATCTATTTTCTTCATCAATTTATGTGTTTTGACTTTTTAAATTTTGATGGTTTCTAATTAGCAAAAATTGAATTTTTTCTATTTGGGTTTTTTTCAATTTGTTTGATTCAATCTCTATTGCTCTATTTGATTGAATTGTTTTGTTCTATGGCCGGTTAGAGTAGAGGGCATTTAGGGTTTATATTTGAAAGTTTGGTAGAAAAAGAAAAAATAGAAAAAGAACTTGTGGATGTTTATGGAAAAAAATGTAACTTAAAGCGTGACATGCTCTCACGTGTAGGATCTAAACGTTGCTACTTTTGAATTGGCCATTTGTTTCATTGTTTGTATATCTATAGGAGTAACACATATACAAGAGATTTTTTTTTATTTTTTTTATTTTTTGGCCAAAACATGGTGAGATTGGAGACTAACCCGAAACTAGTTGTATAAAATATAGTTAGTGATTTATGCATGATATGATGGGATTTGCTTTACTTATAATTGGGAGATCATTTAGATTGCT